GAGAGAGAGAGAGAGAGAGAGAGAGAGAGAGAGAGAGACGGGGAGGGGTGAGAGAATATTCTATGGCAACCTACAAATTGTTGAAAAGTGTGTGTGGGGGGGGGAGGGGAGGTTATGAATCGATACCGGACAAAATGGGGGAGGGGTGGAGATTGGTCTGAAAGGGGAGCGAATCTGGCATCCTTTTACAGTCAAACCTGGATCTATCAGCCACCTGTCCAAGACACACACTTTCCATTTTCGGCCCTTTCATTTATTTTTTTTTTTTTTTTTAAATTATGTTCAAATTATGCTACCACTGTTCAAGATGTCCACCTGTGTAAAACAATTTAACGGCTTTTCTCCTGAGCAATGGGTGGCTGTCTTGGGCAATGTCGCCTGTAACTTGTCGGAACGTGGGGACATCAAGCTACTAACCATTTAATTTTGTCTTCGTATTGGGAACACAGTGAATAGTCCCATGCCGATACCGAGGCAAATGAAAATTTTCCTGGAGCAACAAAAAAATCTGTGTCACCTTATAACTGATCTATTCTTAATTCTTATTAGCGGTTCTTTAGCTGATATCTGGTCTAACTGTTCATAAATCTGTTTCAAAAGTCTGCTTAGTTGATATTTTGTGAGAGAAAAAAACAACAAAGTTATTTGACATTTGTCGTTCTCTCTTAACCGTACGTTTGCACGTAGTATACATGGGCCATGTGTTGTAAGCAAAAAATGACGAATGATGCCGGTCGTCTTTCTCCTTTACACAAGCGAATTGAGTCACGATTAAGTGCAATCAGGAGCTCGTACATTTTTGAGTATACGAAGGTTTTGGTATAATGGTAAAGCCTATCCTTTTGCCTTGCTTTTGAAGGAAAAAGTACCTATCTGTCTTGAGAAGTCGAGAAACAGGGTGATAACCCCCCAAAAAAAAAAATTATTTAAAAAAACCTGTACAACATTATTTTTCTGAATGTCTCGGACAAAATTTGTACTAAAATATTGCAAGTTGGAACAGATAAACTTCATTCAAATGGAAATATGTTTAACATATAACTCATAAAGAATAATAAATTTGTTTTCGAACACGGAAATGGCTTTCATAAAAATAATGTATAAACACAAAATGCACCAATTAAACAAATCTTATAATTTAGGGAGGGTTAATGATTGGTTTGGCTATTTCCTCCTTTCTTTCTTTTTAAAACCTAATCTTTCCATCCCTGTAACCTGTGGCGGTGTGTAGTGAAGGGCTTACGGGCTTGTGCACCCTCCCCCCACCCACCCACACCCCTCCCCACTCCAACTCTTCCCTTAGTTAATGAAAGTTTCTTAAATAACGAAATAAGCAATTATTGAAACCGTTATGATCGCACGCAATGAACACACAGTGATCAGCTTGGCGGCTTGCCTGTTTATCCAATCATTGTTGTCACTGCTTACAACTATAGTTAACCTAACAGCCAATCAAATGCCGTAAAGGCTCAGAAAGAAGAAGCCCGTTTCCACGCCCGTTTTTAATGAAATTCTTCTTGTAAAAAGGTAGAAGACTTTTTAAAAAATAACACTGCACAGAGGGCACACGCTCTCCCAGCCCTGACAATGGGGTGAAAGTTTACGACACACTTTCCCCCAGTGACACAGTTACCTCTATGCGCCCATTGGGCCTTTGTTAGGCGCGTTCTATTTCCCCCGCAACAACACGACCCAATTCACCTCATAGACGGTATGTGTTTGGAGTGCTGTGTGTTTGTGCCGCTGAGATTTAACAGTTATTTATTACATCAAACCACGTTGGAGGCAACTTTTTCATCAGATAAAAACTAATTTGGAGGTGAAACGGCTTCGTCCCCACCATTCAGAAGAATTTAACGTAGAACAAAGAGATGGAAGACAAATGTGACTCTTCTCGTTTGAATGGTTCTCAAAACGCTGTGGCTTGCCGTGAGTATAGAAAAATCATCACTGTTTGTTCTTATTGCTAGCTTTTTGGTGGTAAAGAAGCGGAAGAAACCTAAGTCCCACCCAAATCTTGGTCCACCCTCCGCCATTGCCTGTAACATGTAAAGGGTAATATATTTCTCTTCTCTTTCAGTTTTAGAGAGAAAAGATGATTCTAGAATTACGAGAACTAGATCTAGTAGTGCTCTATATGTCTTCCTATGGACTCATCACATTTTAACGTGTCGTTCGTAATGTTCAGTGGTGGCCAAACACAAAGATCCACCCAACCATGAGTACTCATTACTCATAGCTACACACACTGTACACCTTACAGTATGGAGTTCCTTCTAGAGACAGTAGTGTGTGTGTCGGGGGGGGGCCAAAAAGACATTTTTGTGAAGTTAATATATCCTAAAAGGTGAATTGGACTTTGCCAACGAATCAAATGTCATAGAGGAATGTTCACGCTTTTCAAGACGATCGAGGAATCATGAACACATTGCTATCCTCTGATTAATGTCAGCTTCGCGAACAGGAAAATGATACAGTCGTAGATGAAGATCTGCCTTCAAAATGCAGACCCTTGAGATGTAGGAAAGTCCTCTCTGCAGACATCGTCTACCGACAGACGTCTGATGTGGCTCATCTTCCGAATTGTGCTCGCGTGTGACATTTAAATGGGCGCAGAGGGTGTGTTTGATCTGTAGTGGTCGTTTTGACTCGGAATTTTTTGTTCTGATTCTCGACAGGTCCTAACTGATGGTCCATTACCACCCTTGACATCAAAGAGGGGATTAAGGGCACTTTAATAATTGTTACTGTAAGTTGTGCTGAACTTACGAAATGAGTTGGTGGTGAGGAAATATTCAATACAAAAAGCTCTCAGCTCGTTACTAATCTTAACCATGATAGCGGGCAAAGGAAACTTGAGAAAAACTATCTGCAAACCTCTGTCGACCTGTAGACTACTGTAGTTTGCAATGTGGCGTGATCGTTGGGACTTTTAATGGTAGGCCTAATGCGAACTAGTGCGTCATGCTACAAAAATGGGGACAGAGCTGAAAATGGGTTAGGTTTTTTTTTACGCGCTATGCAGAGCAAA